CTACAGATGAAAAGTGGAAAAGCATGAGTTAGCTTCTGCATGTGTTATTTATGAACTTTATAGTTTTGACTTAATAACCCAAATTCCTTATAAACCATAGATTCCCCAGCTTAGAAGTGGGGATCATAATACCTCTTTCACAGAGCTCTTTAAATGGATTAAACTATGAAATATGTTCAAAGTGTCACATTCAATGCCTGTGTGAATTAATCTCTCAATAGACATTTGCTACACAGTAAATACATATAAGCCGATAAGATTATCCATTGAAATACTAACTTCTGAAGTGAGCCCTGTTTTCTTCATTTGACTACACATGTGGGGACTTGTTAATGGAAGACTGTGGGCCATAGGAGTCAAATCCTTGAAACCTTTGGAAGGAAGGAAATGGTCCATTCTTCAAAGACCATGACATTCCCCCCTCTTTTTCCTCCTATTAAAAAAGCACCTAGACCATTATAAAGCTAGAATTCATTCTGAGAGCCAAAGATAAAACACTATAAAAGTTGGGGGAAATCATGTGTAAGGAAAGAGAGGTCTTGAGCAGAGAAGGAGGTGGTCCTCATTTAAGTTCAACCTACAGAAGGGTGGGGTGAGGTGCCAACCACCACAATTCTAAATCTTGTACTAACAGACAGTAAAATGGCCAAGAAGAAACTGTGTAGAAGTAAAGGAGACCTTTTTGGTAGAAGCTAACTGACGAACAATGACAACAAAGTCTGAAACACCTGCATGAACAACAAGTACTGACCAGAGTTACAGATTTTTCCAAGGTAGCCACAAGATTTTTTTGTTCAGGCCATTTATAGTCATCAAACACATAGAAAAGTTCCTGCTTTTCCAAATAGTGTCTCCACCTCATAAAACAAAACAGAAGCAAACAACAAAATCCTGAAGAATGAAAGGTAAAGAGCTGCAGAGTCAGGGGCACTCGGAGGTGCGTCCTCTCTGGTTCCATTACAGCTAGAGTCACTTCTGGGCTTCACTACTCTGCATTCATCAGACAGCTGTCTGCCTGGCTAACTGGGCTAATGGAAGTGTCCAGGTAGCCAAGTAGAGGAATGGAAAGAGAAGGTACATAGCTTGACTTTCATACTCTGGTCAGGAACATGTTCCAGAAGCCCTCCCTGTAAATCTAGAAAGCATGACTGAAACTGCGTACTGTATGTGTTTGTGTGTCTTGGACCAGGGCGCAAGTACTCTGCTTCTGAGTTAAGTCTGGAACTTTCCTGGTTGCTGTTTTAATGAAAGAACCTACTGGTATAAATCAGCTTCAAAGGCCTCATGGAGTCTCCCATTGTTTTGAAACTCTAATCTGTGTTGGTCAGTCAGGCACTAAAGGGATGACTATAGGTGGCATTAGTAAACTTACATGAGGTGGAGATCTTAAATACACAGAGTGGAACTAATTTGGAGCCATTAGAAACATAAGACATTTTTTAATCATTTCCTTGCCTAAAGAACAAATATCATTTTTGGGGATACTTTGTAGTATACATAAATTAAAAAATAGCATTATTAATCCCATTTTCCAGATGAGTAAACCAAGCTCAGAGTATAAAACACAGGGAGTAGCCTGTGATAGTGCAGACCAGGCTTTGGAACAGGTGAGTTGAATGCTGGCCTCACTGCCCACTTACTTTCAACCCAAGGCGGCGCCTGAGTTTCTGTGCTCACCTTCATTACATTCTAAACTTTAAAACAGCATGGGCCTGTGCCTATTTTGTACATTATTGACAAGCCTTTAGTAATACTTAAAAATGACTGAAGATAGAATACTGAAATGAATCCCCAGTTGGATAGTAATACAGCAATTTAAAGTAGAGTTGAATGAATGTTATAAGACTGCTTAGACAAATTTCTACCAGTGAGCCAAAAGACAGCTCAGACCAGCACAATCATTGCTTTTCTTATCCCATTTACCGCAGTTGAGGTACTGCACTTGGCCTGAATCCTGAAATGAGGCTGGCCTTTTCTGTGTATATATCCCTGTGGGTATCCCTCTTGTGGATCAAACTTCCTTGTGAGATACCAGTTCTTCAGTGGTCTTCCTGGATTAGATAAAGGTCTCTGTTCTGTGCCTGGATTGGCCCAAGTCCTTTAATATTCTGGGCTATTCAACTTAACTTCTTTCAACTTCTAAATTAGGGATCCCAATCTTTTTTTCCAATTTCTCCTAATGTTCCTATGCTGTTTTGCTCCTATTGAAAAGCTTCTTGAGTTCATAAGCCAACTTACGATGTATATGGTCAGAGGAGTGGGGTCCCCAGTGCTCACATACTACCAGATGTCATTTAGCCATACACTACCAGACTTCAGATTACATTACTGAGGATCTTTTCACTCTTGAAAGCATTAGGATCAATAAAGCAGAGATCAATAAAAGATGAAGAAAAATAAAAGCCCTATTAGCAACACTCACAGGTAACAGAGTAAAACACAACAGAACTAGAGTTATAACTGCAAAAAATATCAAAATGTTTATTCAGCCAAATATTTCAAGAGGCTATACCAGGCCCAGCACCTCTGTAGGTCCTCGTGGCTCTTAAGCTAACAGTGAAGGGACAATTTCTCAATCTTAGCCCTAGAGGCATTATGGGAAGAATATGTCATCACTGTGTGTGCAGAGGGGTGTGGAGGAGGGTGGGTACAGCAGGGGATGTTCTGTGAAACAAAGAAGGCAAGCAGCATCCATGATCTCTACTCACCAGATACCTTCCAAGGGGCATTTCCACCCTCCTTCCCTGTTGTGACAACCCAAACCTCCTCCTGTGTTGCTTAATGTCTCCTGGGAACAAGAGAACCTATTGCGAATCATGACATTAGGGAAACTAAACAATATAATATAATAAGTATCACTGTTAACAAGAGTGAGTGGAGAAGGGGGCTCCTTAATTCAGGGGAAAGTGAGAAAAGATGGCATGAAAAAAGTGAATGAAATCTGGTCCTCAGTATCCAAAAAAATGTCTATTTTGTCAAGCATGAAGAATGGGAAGGTCATAAGGATGGATAAGAAATCAGTTGTAGAAAATTCCATCTATTCATAGATCTTTCAAGCTATCTGTAAGGCCCAGATAAAGCTAAGCTGCAAGCCCATGTTTCTCTCTCTCTGCTTTACCATCCTGTAGGCACTATGTATGATCAATAGAAATGCCCGCTGCACAGAAATCAAAGAAAGACACGGGGCTTGGGGATGTAAAAATGGGAAACTGATCCCAGAGCATGGTACCACATTATTATAAGACTATCTCTTACATTCTAAGACACTGGAACTTTTGCTGGTCCTTGCAGCTGAGTTAATAATAATATACTTTAAGGTCGCATAAAACTTAAAACTATATGTGTTAGTAATCTGTTAAACTCCACCTCCACAGTCACCTGGCAACAGCCAGGTATGCTCCTCCCCACAGTTACCTGGCAACAGCCAGGTAGGCCTGCACACTATAAAAGGGGCTCTGTGGCCCCTCCTCTCTCTCTTGGCTCCTCAACCCAGCACCTGCAGGTTGACCTCTCCCCTCCTCACTTCCCTTGCCCCTCTCTCCACGTGGTCATGGCCGGCCTCCACTCCTCCACTTCTCTACTCTTCTCTCTCTCCTCCTGCTCTCCCACTCTCTTAATAAACCTCCCCTCGTGGAACCGTCTAGTCTGCTGTGGTCTGTCCCAAGCTGCGCGTGACCTTTTAATATGTTCTCCACCTGTTTGTTTAACTTTGATTTAAGTGAACAACGTAACAACCAACCTTACTTGCCTTGAACTTCCCATGTAATCAAGGTTTACAACCTGAGATAATGCATAGTTTTAAGCTTATGTATTCTTTCATGCCCTGACCCACAAGTAACTCAAGTGTGTATGTGCATTATGGTAACAAATGGTGAAAACAGAAAGTAGGTTGAAAGCAACCTTATAAAACAAATATCCACCATAATGATGCTTCCCCATGTGATGCTTTCTGTGCTGCCTAATAAAGTCTTTTGCTATAGACACACACACACAAGACACAGTATTCAGACAAGCATAGGGATCCAGATTCAAACTCATATAATAGACAGATTCAGATAGGCCAGAAACCATAGCTATAGAAAGATAGAAAACATGAGACAGAATTGGGCTCACTTTTGATCAAATGACCACAAGGGGAAGTGCTTTGATTGCTGTAGGAGGAGCTAAGGTGGGAGGAGTAAGGAAAAGAAGAAGAAAAGGAAGAACTAGAGAGGGCAGAGATGTAGGAGGATGAAGAGCCAGGCAGGTATGGAGAGTAGTCGCAGGTAACAACTTATATTTAGGTTAGCTAATTGGGAAAAACCTCTAATTGTATGGGCATATTGTTATTGAGCATTACCAAACATATAAAGCCTTTGATTAATATTTAAGCATTAGAGTCTCATTTTCCTACCGGGCCCATGTGGATGGCGGGATGGTCTGGGCAATGCCCAGTCTTGTGAGGACAGCATGGAAGATTGGCAGAGCCATCTCCCACGCTGGTGTCTCGTGGGTGGCAAGGCTAGTGTTTCTAGCTGGCCGTTTCTAGCTGTGGTGCATGTGGCCTCTGGCTGCGAACATGGCAGCTGAGCTAGGCAGAGCCGCCGCAGCTTAGATAGTGGGCTTGACTAGCAGCCGTTACTTCAACATATTGCTTTTCTTAATGTCACACTAATGCATAGTGGTGATCATCAGTGTTTTAAGTTGACACATTTTGGTGCCTCATGTAAGTTATCTCTAGTGTGTTAAATTGATGTAATAGAGTAGGAGACTGAGCTAAAGTACTGTAGGAACAGAGGCAGTGTCTGTAGTTCAGTGTGCTATCTATGTCAGAAACCTTAGAGAATTATATACACTCAAACTTTAAAAAGGGCTTCTGATACAGTCTTCTTACCCACATTCCTACAATGCTGAGGCTTCAGGCAATTCAAATGTTATATTAAACAGTACAGAAACAAGTTTCATGTCCAATTTCTTAGGAAATCGAGGCTCTAAAGTGATGGAGAGCTCAGCAATCTTACCTCTGAACTAGAGTTCCAAAAATAAGGTGGAGGAACTTCTGCATACTTTCAGTACACAGCCACTTCCACTGCTCCATCAACAGCAGGAGGATCAGATCAAAGGCCGTGTCTGCTAACTCTGTCTCTGTTCCTGGGGACAAAGCATCACAGATAACTCAGGAAGAGACCTCTCCTCTTTAAGAGCTTTGGTGGCAGCCAGGTCTTCTCTAGCTTCTTGTCATTATCCTAGAGTTTTGAGATCCCATCCCTTTGCACAATATAAATCAAGAAATGCTTGTATCTATCACTCAGTGATGCACTCTATGTGTTTACAACTTTTTTGTATCTGATGTTCTATCACGACAGGTTTTTAAAATCATATTAGCAGGTCTTGTACATAATTATTTTACCTATCTGACATGGGTTTCCCCTGTATTTCTCCAGGATGCTGACTCCGTTCTACTCCAAGTAGGGGCTCACAACTGCTGACTAACTGGAACTGGCAAGCCCTTGTGCCTTCCACTCGCCCCCACAGTGGATAATGGAAAGGAATGGGCTGATCAGGGGAAAGAACTAAGATTCATTCTCCTACAGAATCACCTCCATTACACAGAGCTGTGGGGTGGGGTGCAGGATGCTGGAGTCTGACTTTGAGATAATATGTGATTCTAGAAGAGTACCACACCTCTGGTAAAATGCCATGACATTTACTGTTTTCTTTCCCATTTGGAAGACTGGAAGTGCCACAGATGAGCTCATGTCTATGTTGGGCTGAAGTATCTTAAACATCTATACATTGAAAAGAAGTGTCTATTCTCTAAATCTGTGCTGGGATTCCTATCTCATGTCAGTGTCCAGGGGTATGTTGGTGTTACACAATGATTAGAAGAATCTGGCATTTCTGCCGTGACTAATGTTACCATTATCATCATCAATATCTGCTAGTCTAGGCTCAATGGGGACTCTCTGGACCAGCCTGCACCAGCTTTCCTCTTCCAAGGGTGTTTTAGAACACAAATCACTTTGGGGTCTGGGCAGATCTGCTAACACTGAATCTCACTTCATTTTAGATTCTGCCTAGTACATATTTTCTTTTTCTGTGCTGTATGTACATGTATATATATATGTGTGTGTGTGTGTGTGTACGTACGTACGTACGTATGTATGTATGTATGTATGTATGTATATGAATAGATGCTTTTTTCCAGTGAATAGATGTTCAAGCCCAGCATAAACATGAGCTCATCTGTGGCCCCTCAAGTCTTCCAAATGGGAAAGAAATTGGTGAATGTCATGTGTGGAAAATATGAGTTGCTGTCTAGTTTTTTGCTCAAAGATGGACTATTCCTCCCTCAGGAAACACCCTCCTCAGTGCCACCAGTTCCTCAGGATTAGCATCTGTCTGTAACTGCCACCCTGTGGTAACATGTAATCATTGCAGTAAAAGTAAAGCAAACTGAATCACATGGTCCTTTTGAAGAAAATGATAAACTACACAACACACCAAGACATTAATAATCAAGACCAAATCTCATAAACATGCCCAGAGGCCATCTGACTTAGGCAATTCCTCAACTAACTGAGGTTTTCCTCTCAGATGACTCAAAGCTGTGTCATGTTGACAATTACAGCTAACTAGAAGCCCCATTGTATCGCATACTTAAATTGAGGTTCATATAGCAGAGGCCAGGTGATTTGTTTTTGAGCATTTGGGAGTAAATATGAAATTAGTTTTTCTTCTTCATCCCACAAAATCTTCCCTCAAGATGTTGTCATCATATAGTCTTAGCAGGTCTTTGTTTTACTTAATCAATAAAACTTCTTCTTTTAAAGTTCTATCACACCGGGCAGTGGTGGGGCACACCTTTAATACCAGCACTTGGGAGGCAGAGGCATGCAGATTTCTGAGTTCAAGGCCAGCCTGGTCTACAGAGTGAATTCCAGGACAGCCAGTGCTATATAGAAAAACCCTGTCTCGAAAAAATCCAAAAAGAAAAAAAAAGTTCTGTCACTAAACATATTAGAATATTTCCTCTGTAGGAAACATTTGACCTTCTCCTGGGAAGAAAACGCTTAGAAGTGGGACTTAGACCCTTCACCTCTTCTGCCTGTTTGCCCTGGGGAACTGGAAAGCTTCATTTGCAATGGCAGGAAGTAAAGCAGGGCCAGATCTGGGAGAAGAGGAATCCATGTGATGATGTTGTGTTTCAGCTGTTCTGTGATCTAACCAGGTAGAGGTGTACACATCCTATTTGGTAGTTAGGCATCACTGGTACACAAGCAAAGGCAGAAGCTGATAGTCCAGAAGTGATTACTCAGAGGGTACAGAGTAAGAACACAATCCAAACTACATTTCAAGAATGATGTTAAGGAACTCAAAAAAGGACTGAGAAAGACAGAACCAAAGAGAGAGGATGAAGGGAAGGAGAGGGAGGGAGAGAGAAACATCAGGAGAGGGTACTACAAACACTGACAGAGTTGTCTAGAGAGTAGCCTCATACCAAAAATAATACACTGATATTATACATATAGATTTTCCCCTGCTGCTTGACTGGATCAAAAAGCCATCTCTATCTCTGGACTACAGCACCTCCTAGTCTGGAGTACTTCAACACATGGATCACTCTGCTGAGCATACGAGAAGTCAGCACAACACAGTCCACCTACCCTGAGTCCCAGTGGACATCTCCCTGGCTCTCTGCTGTGGAAGCAAAGGTCTTGTCACTCACCTGGGTCACTCTTGTTAAGCTCTTGGGCTACCACAGCTTTATCCAGCAAACCACTATCCACATATTCTTTGGGGACTTGTTGGGGATCTTTATCTGGGACTTCCACTGGCTGAATTTTCAGTAACTTTGTCTGTTTTTCAATGAAAGATTCCATCCCAGACATAGACAGGATCTCTGACTCCTGAAGAAACAATAAGTAGCAAAGTTCACCAAGGATGTAGAAGATGGAATAAAGGTAGCATCTGGGTTTCCTGTTACCTGAAAAAGTCCCATGCGTACATCCACTAACCCATGGCCACCTCAGCAAAGCTTCCACTCCTTACCCAAGCTGCAAGTAAAACTAGCCTGCTCTGGGATAATCACTTTTGTACAATGATGAATCATCTGTTCTCATCTAGAAACTGCTTTCCCTTATCATCCTGTTATTATCTCAAACCCATAACCTTAAGAAGCCAACTTGCCAATCCAGACCTGATAGAATTCCAAAGCACTCAGAGGAAACACTTTTAGCATAAAATCTTAAGACCCAGATATCAGCTAAGTCCTTGATCAGGGTACCCAACTCTTCTCTGACTTTAGAGAAGCCTTCTACATACTATATCTCAGAGTCAAAACCTTAGACTGAGATTCTAGCCGTTCTCTGGGTTTGGGCTCTTACCGCATTGCCTTCCTGGAGGCAGTATAGAATCTTGTCCTGTGCCTCAGTTATACTCAGTGCAGGGGCAATTTTACCGGATGAAAACCTTAGTCTGGACCTGACACAGAAACAAAGGCAGAAAAGAATGCAATTCATGATCTTGCTCCCTAAAAAGAGAGGCTGGCAAGTAATGACAACATATTAAACCAGAAGTATCCGTGCTTACTCTGGAATAGGGATGGGGCTTAGTGTGCCTAGAAGATGAAATCTCCCAAACAACATATACTTGGCAATTCTTCTAAGGCAGTGCCATATTTTACTGTGTCTATAGGTACTTACAAAAGGACTTTTGTCAAGTAATAGTGGTTAGTCTGCGCTCTCTCTCTCTCTCTCTCTCTCTCTCTCTCTCTCTCTCTCTCTCTCTTCCTCCCTCCTCCCCTCCCTCTCCTCAATAGGCCACATTCACACAAAATTTTCAGGAAGGGTGCGTGTGCCGTCCTTGCCTTCCGCATGCTGGTATGGAGTGCTTCCAGGAGCCAGCTGGGACGTGAAGCAATCAAACAGTTATTAAAACACACCCTGTAGGTTTCCGTTCTAGCCCTTTCCTGTTTAGTGCTTGGGTAAGTACTCTCTGAGCCAAAATTTCCAGAAATGATGGCAAACAAATAAATTACAAGCCTTGATTCTTAATAGGAAAGAAACATCTCAATTTCTACAAAAAGAATAGTATCCAGCCTCTACAATTTTCCCTTCTAGTTAAAAATCTCCAGTGATCTGGGCCCAGGGGTTTGTGGGTGGGAGCAAATGCTCAGCAGTACTGCCTTTCCAGCATCTCAGTCTCCTTAGGGAACGCACTGTAGAACCCAGCCTCTAGCTTTGCTAAGAAGCCGGTGGCTGGCATGCATTTCCTCTCTTCTAGGGCTTGAGAATGGAAGGGGGCTTTGGCTGAGGACTGGGGATCAAGTGAGGACAGAAGCCCTAGGCCACTGAAGGGCATCTCACTTGCTAGCCTTCTTGCCTTCTGTCTGGGGCTTGTTTTCATTCTCTGCTTCACTCAGCTCCTCTGTGGGACTCTGGGGTTCAGAGCGAGGAAACGCTGTCTTCAAGGTGTCCACAATAGCACTCACCACCATCTGCAGGGTTGGAGGTACAGGATCATCATGGTTATGTACATCCTTGATGTGTAGTGATAGAGAGCAGAACAGTCATCTCTGTGCTTTACCACAGGATAAAAAGAACTTGCCATCCAGAGCCTTAGCCTTTGAGAAAATCAGATACCAGCCAATGACATTAATACTTTTTCTCTCTTCCTAGAACAATCTTCTCTACAGAGTAAGACAAACAATACCAAGGGACAAGAAGCCAAAGGGAAAAGGAGAAAGAAAAACTCAAGAGAGTTCTTCAGGCTAGTTTTAATTAGTTTTTTTTCCTTTTTACATAAAAATGAGGTTCCTAGTTTCCAAATTGATGATACTGACAGCAAAGTGTGAACTGGTAGAAATAAAGAAGGTATGTAAGGAAAGAAAAATGACAATGATAAAAGGAAAAAAGAGAAAATAGTTTAGCAGCTTAAGTAATATAAACATGTTGCAAGGATTCCAAGTAACAAGCTGGGTTTCTAGTCAAATCAGGCAATTCTCTTCTTTAGATATAGAAAGAATAAAAGTCCCTCGGGCCTGTGGTTAAGCTATCTGGAATTGCTATAAAGAAAAAAACGTGTAAAAAACAAGAATCATCTATATTTTTTCAGCATGTAAAAGTGGCATTCATTTATTTGCTATAAAGGAAAACGTACAAAAACCAAAAAACTCAAGACAACAGAGGTATATATACATTAATGAAGGCTGCTGGTTCAGAGTAGCACCAGGCCTGCTGTAGCTCATTATTGTGGTAATCCCTCACAGGAGCACAGCTAGTACAGCCAAGACACATGGGACAACCAGCAGGACCACAGGGAATACTAAGAAAACAAACCAGAGGGGAACACAGGAGAGGATGGCACAAACATAGTGCAGCTTAGAAAATACAATTTCCAGGCTAGGGGGAAGGTTCAATGGGCAAAATCCTTCCTTGTGATTCCTAGCACCTGCCTAAAAACTGTGGTGATACACATCTGCAACTCTGTGATATCCATCTGTAACTTTGTGATATATACCTGTAACTCCCATGCTCCTGGGGTCTGGGCAAATCTCAGGGGCTTGCTGACCAGCCAGTCTAGCCAATACCAGAGATCTTCAGGTTCAATGAGAAATCTTGTCTCAAAAACTAGGAGCAATGGAGGAAGACATCCTATGTTCTCCACACACATGCACAGGTGAATGCACTAGTTGCATAGGCACATATATGTAAGACAACTTTCTTTTCAGCCTCAAAGATTATAATTGATGGGAGGGCCTTCATTGGTGCCTTCCATGTTGGCCTTTCTGGAAATTAGTACAGTGCTTTGCTCAAAATAGCCTCATTGAATGTGATGGCATCTGCCTATAATCCAGCATTTGAGAGGCTAAGGATGATGATGAGTTTGAAACCAGCTGGAAATATTGGTAGTTCCAGGCCAGAGTAGATCTGTCTCAAAAAGCCAAAAGCAAAGAACCAGGCAATAACAAAGGAAGTTCCCATAAGGAAATGAGGAAAGAATCAATGGCTACATCTTCTCAGAATTCCGGGGATTTTACCTAGTTGATCTCTTTCTAGTCTAGGTTCTTCCCCATAAAAAAGATGTCCCTTAATACCTATTTTATGGAATTCTATCTTATTTTTTTTTCTCCCAGCCAAGATGAGGAGGCCACTTCTAGCCTTACATGCTTCCATTAAAACAACATCATATTATTGTATACACACACACACACACACATATATATATATATTGTATACACACACACACACACACACACACACACACACACACATATATATATATATCAATCATGTGGCCATTGTCTTCTAACAGCTGCTCACTCTCAGATTCAGCAAGTTGATGATCCAGCCAATATTTAGCAACAGGTTTTGAAAATTTTAGTCCATGTTCTATTGACTCCTTCTCTGGGCTCCCGGCATGGTCTCCACTCTAATGCACACCTCACACTTGCAGACAGGAACAAAGCTGAGCACAGTGGCTCTGCTGTTACCTTGTCTATCCTAGAGACCATGAACGGTTTCTTGACAAAGGCAATCCGAGCATCTGTGTTCAGAGCAAGGAACTCCTGCACCTCCTCGCTGTTGGCAATCTCAGGAATGGCACAGAGTTGCTGCAAAAGAAAAACATTTTAGAGAAATCCTAGGCCTCAGATCTCAGAGCCTTGGGTTGGACGTGAGCAAAGCCAGAAGAGAAGATGCTGACCTTCAGGAAGGACTCCAAGAGGCTCTTCCTGGCTTCTACTCTGTCACTATCCATGTTTCCAAATGGAAGATCTGGAAAGAGCTTTTTTGGACCCTTCACATCTACAAAGCAAAGCAAAACAAAACAGAGCAAATGCATCCACTTAGTGTCCACACAAAGACACTTCATGGAAAACAAACAATCACTGGATGTATTTCACTAGGCATTGGCTTTGGGTTTTGTTAACTTCAGGACTTCCAACTGTCCTGGGAGTTGTGATGCAATGATCTACTCTCCTCACTGTGAATAAAAGACACAGTGCAGCAGTTACTTACGTCAGGCCTCTTAAGCCTAACAGCCCAAGGTTAAGTCTGGGCTCCAATTCCTGCTGTAAGAATGACCTTAGGCAAGCTACATGATCTGTAACTGTTGCTTTTCTATAAGGAATGATACTATCTACCTCTCAGGCTATTAGAGGACTACATGAGCTAATGCATGTAAAGTGTGGAGAAGAGAACCAGGCATAGTTTTGAAGCTTGTCCCAATATTAGCTATGAAATTAAGAAGAAAATACATAATTTACAGTCAACTTACCATTTATTTATATTATCATTAGCATCTAAAAACAACAACCAAAACAACATCTAGGTTTTTGTTTTTGTTTTTGTTTTTTGGGGGGTTTTTCGAGACAGGGTTTCTCTGTGTAGCTCTGGCTGTCCTGGAACTCACTCTGTAGACCAGGCTGGCCTCGAACTCAGAAATCCACCTCCCTCTGCCTCCCAAGTGTTGGGATTAAAGGCCTGCGCCACCACTGCCTGGCAACATTTAGTTTTTAAACAACAATGTTTTAGCCAGTTCCCAGCTTACTTGTACTTAAATTTTACTATATTTTAAACTCTTCATTGTGTGTTGGATGTGTCAAACAGCACAAAAAATGCTTGGTTGTTGAAAACAAGGATTTTTGAGTTATTTAAGACAGATAATCCACCGACCTGGAAACATTAATTTAGCTCCTTGAGTTATTCTATGGGCACAGGTAGAAATGTGTCTATTCTTTTTTAAGTGTGAACTATTTGGGGACACTGGAGCAACACCTGTCACCAAGGACAACCTCAGAAGTGATTCCATCATAGCTGTTAAACTCTAGACCCCAGGCTTCTCAAGAAAACTTGGGAATAGGACACTCTCAGTGCCGTCTTCTCCCCACAAGCCCACAAGCCACCAAGTGTAGATTAGAGCGACTAGAGGTGACAGGCATGCAAGCTGGCATTTGGAGCTTGGGGAACGTCTGACTTTTGATAAACTTTCGTAGATCCGGTTTCTCCTCCAGGCGGGTCTGCAGATTCAAGAATTCCCGGTAGCGGCGGTTCACAGTGTGATAGGCCAGCTGTTGTAGGCCGCTGCTGTTCTCGCCATTAAGGGCTGTCTCGTACTGTGGAAAGGAACAGAGTTATCGATGGAACCAGTGAGGTTAAGGGAATCTATTCTGAGGTTCAATGGTCACAGTAAAGTATGGAAAAGAGGAAAAGCTTCATTTATACATCATCCTTAGTTGTAACTGACAATCCAAACTCCAAGGCTGAATGAGCTGAACTTCCTGCTACCGCTTGCTCAGTCAGAAAGACTTTCCACTGTTTCTTATGATTGCTTCTATCAGAAGTTCCCACCCCCAAAGTAGGTACATTAACATTTTCAAATCCTAAATAAAAGAGACCTCATCAGGAGAAAACTACTTTGCCACAACATCTAGTCACTAACAATCTATACTAATTTGGGGAAGAAAAATCCCAAACAGCAGATAGGCATAAATCATGACTCTCTCTCTCTCTCTCTCTCTCTCTCTCTCTCTCTCTCTCTCTCTCTCTCTCTCATTGTTTTGGGAAGATTAATCTTTTTAATTGTTACTCTGGAAATTGAACGAAAATTCTTTGTATTAAGTATATATTAGCCGGGCGGTGGTGGCGCACACCTTTAATCCCAGCACTTGGGAGGCAGAGGCAGGCAGATTTCTGAGTTCGAGAGTTCGAGGCTAGCCTGGTCTACAGAGTGAGTTCCAGGACAGCCAGGGCTACACAGAGAAACCCTGTCTCGAAAAACCAAACCAAAATAGAAAGTATATATTAGCTGTATCACTAGATGTCTCATGATGATTGGAAATGTTCTATGAGGTTAGTTTGCTGCCTTCATATTCCTAAAGGGCCAGTATGTGGGAGAGATGACCCACACTGTACTCCTAGAAAAGTAAGCACCTTGAACAGAATGGAAGCTATGACTGCACAGGCAAAGACCTTCTGACAAAGAAGTGTAAGATACATAGATGCTGCCACCAACTTGGCATGTGCTTGCTCTTATCAGAAATTGGTTATTCTTTGGCTGAAATATTATAAAACAATATGTGATTTTTTAAAAATTCTCCATGTTGGGGCTGGAGAGATGGCTCAGTGGTTAAGAGCACTGACTGCTCTTCCAGAGGTCCTGAGTTCAAATCCCAGCAACCACATGCTGGCTCACAACCACCCATAATGAGATTTGATGCCTTCTTCTGGTGTGTCTGAAGACAGCTATAGTGTACTCATAAGTAAAATAAATAAATCTTTAAAAAAAAAAATTCTCCATGTTGAAAGAACTTGAGCTAGTGATTGAACATTTCTAGAACTAGAGTTGAAAAACTATTCACTAAGTGCTGAGGTGAGGAAAGATGTCTCTCTGATAAGTACCAAGAAAGAAAGAGACAGGCAGAATTCAGGAGACAGCTTTTGAGCTTAGAGCACTTGAGAGCTGGGATGCCTTCTGTGGAATATTCTGCCCTACCCCTTGAGCGACAACTTGATTTTTCTGGTTATAAGAAAGAAAAACTGTTATCAATCCACAAATATGTCACAAGTTGAAAATGAAATATCCAGAACCTGGCACTTGTATGTGAGTACAGCGCACACCAGAGGGACACCTAGAATCCAAACAACAAGCAGGCAAATTGTTCAAGTTCATGCTCTTTGACAGTCACCTGTTACTCATGACTCTACATCTGTGCTTCTGAAAAATGCCACGAAGACCATGTGACTGATTGTAGGCATGTGCACAGGTGCTTCTAATCATGTTAATAATTCTAATTACTTCTAAAGAGGCTGGTGTTTGAACATTTCTAGAGCTGGAGAGGAAGACACAGTCACTATGAGCTGAGGTGAGCAAAGAAATCTCTCGGACAAGTACCGAGCAGAAAAGAAACAAGTAGAATTCAGGAGAGATTTCAAACTCTAAAACTGTCTTAACTTCAAATGTCATGTGACTTCTGAAATGCCAGGTCACCTTGAAGTTGTATCAGGCCACCTCCCCTTGGTCGGCTTGGATTTTACCAGGAGGAGTAGTATGCCCAGCCTTGTACTAGTGATGGTTCTTGGACTGAAAAATCACAGAAATTCCAGATGGCAGGTAAAGTTCAACAGAGAATCCTGCCAAGGAACTCTCTTTCTAAACTTCTTCCTAATTTCTTTCTTTAAAAATGATAATATATTTTATATTTTTCTTATTTTAGGAAGGTAAAATACTTATACTTATGTCAGAAGGTGATAATTCCTTATTCCTTGAGGCATTTATGCACAGACTTGGGAAGGACTATGCAGAGAAGATATGGAGAAAATTGGTTAGAATAGCAGATCTCCCCTCAGGCCAAGCTATGAACTGATGAGTTAACTGAAAAAATGAAAAGTTTCATTTAAAAAACAAATGAGCCAGGCAGTAGTGGTGCACGCCTTTAATCACAGCACTTGGAAGGCAGAGACAGGCAGATTTCTGAGTTCGAGGCCAGCCTGGTCTACAGAGTGAGTTCCAGGACAGCCAGGGCTACACAGAGAAACCCTGTCTTGAAAAAACAAAACAAAACAAAACAAAACAAATGGTGGTGGGGGGTGTGGAAAAATACCTTAGCAGTTTGATGCTCTTGCAGAGAACCAGGGTTTGGTTTCCAGCACCCACATGGCAGCTTAAAACTGTAACTTCAGATTCAGAGGATCTAGAATCCTCTTCTGGCCTCTACAATCATCAGGCACACAATACACTTACATACATGTAGGCAAAATATACACATAAAATAAAAATAATTAAGTCATTTTTTAAAAATGTAGAATCTTGGGATGCATTCTTAGAAATTCTTATCTAGAATCTGTCTGTCAGAATCAGTATATTTAAAAGGCAGCCCTAGTGATTCTGAGGTGGAAGGAGGTTTGAGAACCAATGAACACTTTGATCCACAGTATTCTAACACTGAACTTCTGGGGCTATTTGTGTGGTTTTATCATATGAGCCAATCCTGGCTTCCCAAACAAGCTGCACACCACTCACACATTTATTTAGTTCACGCTGGATACTCTTATCCCTTGCAACATTCTGTTTACTGACTCCGATTTCTAAACTCCATCCCCAGAGTGAGCGACTACAGCCGTTATCCTGTTACCTTCACAGTGTACAGAGTGTATGGGTGGAATCCAGTCCCACTGTGCTCTCGGGCAGTGATGGTACCAGTGATTCGAAGGTTCTGGATGACAACTGGGCCATCTGGACTGCTCAGGGACTCAAAGCTGAAGGTGGCTGAGCTGAGAGGACCAGGTGGAGAGGAGGAAAGTGGCACTGGAGGCACAGCAGGCTCCAGGGAGCACATGCCACTGGTAAGATCTTTGTCTAAGCATGAAGGTCGTAGGGGACAGGTTTTTTCTGGTTCCTCTAGCAAAGCTGTAAGAGAGGTGTCATCTCCTTGCTCTGCCTCTTTGTCTGCTGTGTCAATCTGGATCTCTGGACAATTAAGCATGGAGTCCAGCATGCCTGTCTCTGTTTCTGTTCCTGGAGCCTCCTCAGCTTCTGCTCCTTCTATGCATTCAGATCCTTCGCCATCCTTAGGCTCCAGAGCCTGAGAATCATCGAGGGCACACAGAGCATCTTGAATCCTGTCTGAAAGGAAGTTGCCTGGGGTCATTAGCATGATGGTTTCTTTGCCCAGTTCAGACAGTGGCGACTCTAGTTCTGAGTCTTCACATAAGAACAAGGGGCCTCGGATATCTGGCTGTAGAAAATGGGATGAGTTATTTCCTACTTTTCTTTCTTCAAGCATCCCAGGCAAATCTCCCTCTACAGCTTCATGGCCTTCTTCAATCTCTGGGGAGGGGGCTGGCTCACTAGAGGTTAAGTGTACTGGGGCTGCTGCTGGAGAAGATGCTTTTCTTACTGGCAGACTCTCTACTTCAACAATCAATGGCAGGGATGTGGGCACTGAGGGCTGCTCTGGGACACTGGGTGAGCAGGGGGGTTTAGTTCCTTGTGCTGTATCATGTCTGTACTTTGAAAAGATATTCACAAGTATAAGGTGGATCCAGTCAGGATCTGATAGCTTGTTGATCAGTGGTAAGATTACATTGCACGTAATGAGTTCGACTACAACATGTCGCCCAGTCCTAGTCTCCAGGTGGGGCTTGGGAACTAACTCTTTTAGTATCAAATTCACAATGCCACGTGCATAAGCAACCTCCGTGGTAGGACAGCTCATGGCAGGATGGGGAGTAGTAACCTGGCAGTAAGCATCCCATAGCTGGGAAGGCTGAACTTGACAGCTCTGCTCCTTTGCAGATGCCTCCTTTGCCTGAATATAGCTCTGCAGGTGACAACCACAGAGAGTCAGAACCCTCTGGGTAAGAGCATGGCTGTCTACTATGCTCATCCGCCTTCGAAGTTCCTGAACCAACCCTTTCATGGCTGCCTCCATCTCTGCCTCGAATGCTGGCTCATGGCTCACTGAACGATACCAGGATAACACGAAGTCTCGGATAATCATCTGGATGGTTCGGTTAATCTCTTGTTCCAGCTGCCTTTCTGCCTCGGGACATGGAGGACAGGTGGTGATTGTAATGAATCGTTCCAGGTGCAATTGGCCTGAAGCCCCTACGATGGCAGTGGAGCCCAGCCATCCTCCCAGCACGACCAATGATGCACACAGAAGGAACAGAAGCCACATGTTGACCAGAAGGTGGATGACCAGTAGCCAGCCCAGAAAGACCCCCAGGACCATTAGCTTCCGGCTACTCCATAGACTGTTGTAGACATAACTGGACTCGGAGATAGTCCCCTGGGTAGGGGACACAGTTTGTGCCTTCATGGCTAAAAGTACAGGTGGGTTTCCACAGATGACAGCCTTCTATTTTATTTTGGTGTTAGGAGTGAAAGCAGAAAAGAACAAGTCCGGATGCTACTGAGTGAACTCTGAACCCACGATACTACTGGCACTGCAAAGCGACAGAGAAAGCCCTGCTTCTTCTGCTCGCTTCTGTCAACAGAGTCCATCAAACTAGCCTCTTCCAACCGAGATGAGGGAAACTTTGAGGGCCTTCATCATGGCCCAGGCGGAGAGTCCCTTCGCAGCCCCGCATGGCCCACGGACACTTACGAACTCCGAAGCAGCAGCCAGCTGATCGGGTCACACGTCGCCGGGGGACGCGTGCCCAGACTGAGCCCCTGGGAACGAACTCATTAGGAGTTCTTTCCGACTGCCGCGGCCAGCAGTCACAGCAAGCTCCGGCAGCCCAAGCTCCGACAGCCCAGGCTACTACACTGCCCAACTCCAAAGGGGACCGAGCCGCCGGCCGGCTGGCAGCCGGCGACCGCTTCCGGGTCGCGGCCTACGGGAGCGGGGTACGCTGGGAGAGCGGCCCGGTGGATCAGTGCCACGGGCGCCCCCTGGTGGTGAGGAGCAGTGGTGACGGCTGACGCACACACCTCTGCTAACCTGAGAGACCAGAGCCGGTACTCACCGGGGCCAAAATGGATACGAAGTCTTCGGTATTCGCTCAGGCTCTATAAAGTCTTGGTTGTGAATATCACTAACCATTTAGGGAAACTTTCAGTAATGAGCTTTGTTTTAATTCCCTGGGAGTCATACTTTTAGGAGCTTGATGGATGATGAATTTTTAACGTTCTCCCTGCTTTTTCCAGAACACCCCACCTCCACCCCCTACTCCCACCCCCACCCCAACCCCACCAACTCTCCTCAATTCACAGTCCACTTCATTTGTCCTCCAGAGTAGTAAAAGATAAGTATTAAGATGTGGGCCAGGTTTCTAGAGACTGTTTCCTATGTTTAGTCACTGGATTGAAGAGTGGGTCCTCGAAGCCCTTGAATTGGGGAAATGAGTTTATTTGACGTAAATCAGCTTTCAGTAAAGCGAGTCCGTATAAGATATAGTGAATTGCAAAATCTTAAGTATGTTCGGGAATGACTTTTAGTAAATCGCAATAGTTAAAGGGATCGTGTTAAGAAGGTAGCTTTTGTGCTGAATTTTGAAGAGTTTTCTGTCTGTTGGCCTTCCTTTTCTTCCCAAGTACATAAGGCAGAGGTAGAGACGTAGCTTTTAGGTTACCTGCTAACACCTTTGGTTCGGAATATGCCTCTGCCTGTGTTGGGCTTTTAATACAACTGCCAGTTGTCTACTCAAAAGAGTACAAAAAAAAGTCTACAAAGAATCAGTATCTGAAGGTGACACCGACTATGTGCAGAAGCATTTATGCCTTCTCTGTGTTTAGCCTATATAAGTCGCCACCTTGATCCTTAGGATTTCTGTCTGCAGTGTGGCTCTCCTTTCTATCTGGGCACAGCTGAATGCAGTTTGCATCGTTCTTTATCAGTCTGTCCTCTGCTGGTAGCCTTGAAGGATTTAGGCAAATTCAAAAAACAAAACAAATCCAACAACAAAAAGCAAAAACAAAACAACACCCCAAAACAAGCAAAACAAAACAGCCCTATGCCACCAAGAGGGGTAATATAGATGCCTTTTTCATCTCCAGTGTTGGTGTTGAGGTAATAACTTCATTTGGATACAAAAGAAACCATCATTTACAAATGGATGTGGTTGACAACTAATGGCCTCTAAGGCTAACAATATAATTTAGGATCAAAGTGTCTACTAAGCAGGCAAGGTGATCTCTGAAGTTAAAAATCACTAGTCCATGTTTCCATGGTGAACATCACTTCACTGCAACCCTCCTCCCAATTGAAAGGACCTGAGACCTGCATACTGCCTGTTATGTCCTCCCAAACTATTGTGTTGTTCCTGGGAACAGTTACCTGACAGTAATGCTCTGGAGAAGTAAATATCCCTGCCACCCACGCAAGAATTACAGCAGAGAATGAAACAACAGAGGAAGTAATGGTGCACTTAAGCAGCTCAGAGAAAAAGTTCCCGGGCATCACGAGATGGAAAGTGCAGGGTAGCAACGAACTGACCTTGTAAGTAGGCGTTGTACCACCTAACCAGATGGTCTGGAGCTCCAAGGTAGCCAAGAGTGTCTTCCTGATTCTGAAGCACAGTTGACAGACATGCCAATGCACTTGTTATTTGAACGGCTATGAGCTTCTGCATGGGGACTTAGGACAAATCTTAGTCTCCAAAGAGAATAATCATTGGGAGTAGGTGAGAGTCATCCCTTTTTTTTTGGTTTTTTTGTTTTGTTTTGTTTTGTTTTGTTTTTGTTTTTCGAGACAGGGTTTCTCTGTGTAGCCCTGGCTGTCCTGGAACTCACTCTGTAGACCAGGCTAGCCTCGAACTCTCGAACTCTCGAACTCAGAAATCCACCTGCCTCTGCCTCCCAAGTGCTGGGATTAAAGGCGAGAGTCATGCCTAATATAGAATAGTGTGTACCTGTAGTGGGGGAGGCTGACTAGTCACTCACCTCTCAAGAGACCCTTCTTGCCTTCTGATCTGCTATTTCTCGGAATGTTAAAGGAATAGCGCTAGAGTGTTAGGGTTAAGAAGACCAAAGCCACCAGTTCACCTAAAGGTATTTTCAGTCTCATCAAAGGAGAGACTCATGAAAAGAGCAATGTGTTTAAGCATGATGTCATGTTTAAGGTGAGGTGACATGATGCTTGTAATAGAAGACAGACCAATGAAACACAAACACAAAGGATGGATAGTGGTGACCTAGGGACTAGCGTGGTTCATAGATACTCACTCCTAAATTTGCAAACAGAAAAGAATTGAGTGTGTTTTAGGGACATATAGACTGGGAAAAATAGGAGAATGGGGAGGGATGGTCTTTCGGGCATTACAAGTACAAAAGGCACTGTGACAAAGGCCAGGTTGGAACCAGTCCATACCAGTCCTCCGATTCTCTCACAAAACAGAAGATAAGGCAGGCTTGGTGTTGTGGGCTGTATTACAAGAAACTTGGGAACCCTGGGCAGGTGGGTTAAAAGATCTGTCTGGACTACAGCGTGAGCTCAAGGGCAGCTGAACAACTTATTCAAACTTTATTTGTTCAAAAATAAAGAAATAAATGACACAAGTCCAGGACTGTCGCTCAGTGGTTGAACGCTGTTGAGCTTCTTCAAGGCCTTGAATTCAATCACTGGTGCCAAAAACAAAAACAGGAACAAAAAATAAAACCAGCAGGCAGGAGAAAGAATTCTGATGATGGTGAAGGTGAGCTAAGAGGGGGGATGGGGTAGAGTTGTTGCTGGACAACAGGAAATAATGGAATTTACACAAAAGATAGAGGCTTAGAGGAGCTAGCCAAGGTCACCAGGCGTGAGTCTGACATTGCATTAGCATATGTTGTTCTCTCCTCACTTTGTTCCCACTGTGTAGGAGAGAAACAAACAGGATTTGAGCTTGTTGCCATGTTGAAATTTTTAGCATAGATAAAAAAGAAATGGCAAATGGTCAGGCCCTTAACACCCTGAGAAGTGAGGTGCTAAAATTTAAAACCATACTGTCTAAGTACATGGGAAATGAAAGGGACATTGAGAGAACATACCTGAGTATAGTAGGAGAAGCGTATGTGCGAACCAGAAAAAGGCTCGTGAAAGACTAGAAATCAGTCCACGGGAGTTCCTATTGCTGATCTGTCAAACTGCCACACAATATCCTCTTACAGTTTGGGAAGTTAGCAGCCTCAAATGGACTGGCAGAACTGTGCTCATCCAGGAGTCCAGAAAAGAGAGTGTGCTTTTCAGTCCTTTCCAGCATCTAGGGGACACCTGTGCTCTCTGGCTCCTGCCCTGATATTCCTCCCACCTCTACTCCTCTGCTTCTTCAGTCATGTCTCCTTCCCACCCCTGACTCTCCTGCCTCCTTATGAGGACTGTTGTGATTACATCAAACCCTCTCCTGTAATTCAGAACTATCTTCCCCTCTCAAGATCCTTAACCGCATCTACAAGTTCTCAAGTAAAGCAACACGATCTCAGAACATGTGAGTCAGCAGGGAAGACATTGTGTGAGCTACAACAGAGCTAAAGTGAGTATAGATGGAAGAGGTTTTGATGGTTAAGTTTGAGTGCAGTCATATGATGAATTTCTGAAGTAAGATATGAATAAATTATTAGGGATTTTAAATATCTTTTAAAAGGTCTCAAATCTACTTGATAGCCCACACATTTATGATTCTGGTGCCTCTACCTCTCCAATACAGGGATTATAGGTGAGCACCACAGTGCCTGGGTGAATCTAAGTTTATAAGGAGTATGATCTAGCTAGGCTTAGAAGTCATCGATTTTTTAATAAAGTGGATTGTGAATGTTTGATAGAAAAGTTATTAATAAACGCTAATGACCAGAAAGTTGCAGATGGTGTAGAAAGTGGAGAAGAGTGTACTCACATCAGAAAGCAGCATCTTGTAAACTTCAAAGCCAACTGCCTAAAAGAGCCCATGGGTGTTCTCTCTGTTCTGCCTTCGAGGATGTGTTGGGAGTAGATAGCCACCAGAGGGCAGCAAGGAGCTTGATATCCTGAGTAATCCACAGATCCTACAAGGCTGGGCACAGGGAGTAGGAATTCAAAAATGGACTCTAGGTAACTTCTCTGCAGGACTTAACATTTAGCGTAAGAGACAGAGACTGATACAGTGGAAAACCCTATAATGGAAATATGTCAAAATATGGGAAGGGAGTAGATTAGGGGAATTTACCTAAAAGGTATGACTTGTGAGCTGGCCTTGAGAGATGAATAAAGTTTCCCAGGAAGACAAGAGGAATAAATCATTATAAGAATGAGAAGACCACTGGGCGGTGGTGGCGCATGCCTTTAATCCCAGCACTTGGGAGGCAGAGGCAGGTGGATTTCTGAGTTTGAGGCCAGCCTGGTCTACAGAGTGAGTTCCAGGACAGCCAGGACTACACAGAGAAACCCTGTCTCAAAAAACAAAAACAAAACAAAACAAAACAAAAACAAACAAACAAACAAACAAAAAGAATGAGAAGACCACTTAATTCTTTGCAATCTGCATTAGTTTTCTAGGGTTCACAAGGGAACATTACAGACAACAGAATTTGGTTCTTATGATTCAAGACATTGGAAGTTCCAATTCAAGGGGCTGACATGGTTGGCTCTTCTAGGGGTTCTCTCTTTGAAGGTAGTTGTCATTGTGTCTTCGCTGGGTCTTTCTTGTGCTTGGGAATTCCTGCCTTCTCTACCTTTTCCTAGAAAGACAGTAGCAGGTTGAGTCTCACTACCATGACTTTGTTCAACTATAATTACCAATCTCCAAACACAGACTCATTCTGAGGTAAACTGAGCACTGGGGCTTTACCATGTGAGTTTTGAAAAGATGTGATTTGGTCCACTACAGTTTCTTCCTTCCTACCTGTAGGCTATATGAAAGATCATG